CTAACCCCCCAAAGCCCAACCCCAGTTTAACCCCCAAGTACATAACCCCGTACATTAACCCCCCCCAAATAACCCCATACGAACCTAACCCCGCAGTAACTCTTAGATCTCCTACTCCCACCCCTACTGGCCCTGACCCTAACCCCCACCCTGACCCTAAAACCAATCCCCCCAAACCCCGCCCTACCCAACCACGCCCTGACCCTAACCCCACCCTGGCCCCCATTCCCCTCCCCAACCCCTTTCCACCCCCCCCTTCCCACCCTAACCAACCCCCCTACCTTCCCGATCCCCTACCCTACCCTCCCCACCCCCCCCTTTCCCCAAAACCCCACTGCCTGACCCTAACCCATAGCCCTTTTCCCATACTCCCTGACCCTAACCCATGCCCTGACCCCCCCCCGTCCCAAAGCCCGCCCCAAACCCCTACGCCCCCCCCTGCGCCCCTAAACCCCACTGCCCGACCCATACTGCCCTTCCCCAAACCCAAAACCCCCCCCTTTACCTCCCTATGCCCCACCCTCCCCCCCTCCGACCCAACCCCCCTCCCCGCCCAAACCCCCCCCCCCTGCCCACCCAAAACTGCCCGACCCCTTTACTTATACTGCCTGACCCAACCCAATTCCCCCTGACCCAACCCTGCCCGGCCCCCCCCCCCCCTACCCAACCCCTCCCTCCCCTCCCCCTGACCCCTAAAACCCTCGCCCTGACCCTTAGTTTCCCCCCCCCCCCCTGCCCGACCCTAACCCATACTGCCCGACCCAACCCCTCGCCCGCCCTTTTTTCCACTGCCCGACCTAACCCCCCCGACCCTAACCTCTTTCTGCCCCCAACCCTACTGCCCTGCCTTTTTCCCCATTTCCCCCCCCCCCCAAAAAAACCCCCCCCAACGGGCCCCCCCCTACCCACCCCACCCCCGCCCCCCTCCCTGCCCAACCCCCCAACTGCCCTAAACCCCCCCAACCCCCCCCCCGCCCCCCCCCCCCTGCCCTAAAAAAACCCCTGCCCAAAATTTATACGCCCCTGACCCCAACCCTAGCCCCCCAAATATCTCCCTACCCCAACCCTTTCCCACCCCCCCGCCCACCCTAACCCTGCCCCACCCTAAACCCTTCCCCAATTAAAAACTCCCTGAACCCAACCCTTGGGCCCCCCCCCTGCCCGCCCCCCCCAAACCCCAAACCCCTCCCCCCATACCCCTTTCCCCTTTAAAAATTGACCCCAAACCCCCCCCCCAAACCCCCGGCCAACCCATACTGCCCCCTAAAAAAAACTCCCCCCCCCTAACCCATACTGCCCTGCCCTACCCCAAACCCAACCCCAAACCCTTCCCCCCCCCCTAACCCCATACCCCCTCCCTTGTCCCTAACCCCAAAACCCTGACCCCCAAAAAAATGCCCCCCCTAAACGCCGAAACTGATACGAAAAAGCCCCCCTTAACACGGTAATCTTTTTAAAACTGGGGAAAAGAAACAGTTCCCCCCCCTACTAAAGGGTGTTTTTGTTGGGTTTGTGGGGGGGTTCCCGGTTTTTTTTGTTTTTGGGGTTTTGTGTTGTGTTGGGTTTTTTTGGGGGTTGTGTGTTTGGGGGTTTTTGGGGTTTTTTTTTGGGGTTTTTGGTTTGTTTTTTGTGGGGTTTTTGGGGGTTTTTTTGGGAAAAATGAAGGGGAAAATTTAAGGGGGTTTGGTGTTAAATGTATTTTAAAAACCCCTCCCCCGTGACCAACTCTTCCCTAAATTTTTTAATTTTCCGGGGGACTTTACCCGGGGAATCCCTTTTTTAAACTTTCCCCATGGGTATTTGGGCCGGGGACCCAAATTTTTTTTAAAAAATTTTTTGGGTGTCAGGGGTTGGGTATTTTTATTTTTGGGGGGGCCCGTACCCGGAAACCCTTTTTAATCCGCCCCTGTCAAACTCGTACCCAGGGAAATTTTCCCCTTTTTTCCCTCCCGCCGGAGACTCTTCCCCCCCCCAAAACCCTTTTTATCTCCCCGCGTGATAGTAAATCGTAAAATTTTTTTTATTTTTTACCTGAGGCCGACAGAGAGCCGGACCCGGTTTAAAACCCCTTTTTAAACCAAAAGCCCAATAAAGCTCTGTACCCGGTTTTTCCCTTTTTTTCCCCTCTGCCGGGGGTTCAGAATCTTCCCTTTCCCCTTTTTTTTTAATCCCCAGGATTTTGGGAACCCCCGGAATTCCCTTTATATTCATCTTCTGGGGGGGGGATCAGTAGATTGTCCCGGTTTTTCCCCCCCTTTTTCATCTCCCCCCCAGTAAGCTCTGTACCCAGAATTCCTTTAAACCCCCTGCCGCGATTTTAAATTTCCTTTATTCCCTTTTTCAAAATTCAGAGAGCTCTGCCCCGGTATTCCCTTTTTTTTATCTCCCCCAGGCGGTCGTAAGGTAATTCCCTTTTTTACTATTCCAATATCCCAGCCTCTTACCCGGTAAATTTCCCTTTATATTCATTCCCCCCGGGAGCTCGCCAGGGAATTTCCCTTTATTTCATATCCTGCCAGGCTGACTCCTTTTCCCGGAAATTCCCTTTTTTCACACCCGCCAGCAGATCGTAAGCTTTTTCCCCAAAAAAACCCTTTTAAATACTAGCAGGCTCTGTACCCGGGAATTACCCTTTATATTCCCCTTCCCCCGGGAGATCAGTAATTACCCGGTTTTTTTTTCATCCCGCCCGGCGGGTTTGAGCCCCTTTTTCCCATTTTTTATTTATATTTTTCCGAGGGGCTTGCCAAAAATTTTTTTTTTAAAATTGAGGGGCTCTGTACCCATTAATTAATTTTTTCTTCCCCAAGAGCTCTGTACCCGGGAAATTCCCTTTTTTCAATCCCCGGGGGAAAATTTCCCAAAAACCCTTTATTTTATCATCCCGGGAGTCTGTACCCAGGAAATTCCCTTATATTCTCACCTGCCGGGATGATCGGACTCTTACCCGGTAATTACCCTTTTTTTTCCCGCCCCAAAACCCCAGGTTTTATTTTTTATACCTTACAAATTTTTTTTTTTTTTCCCTTTAAAACCCCCGCCGGCAACCACCAGGATAAACCCCTTTTTTTCACCCCCCGACAAAAGGCCTTTTCCCAACCTTTTCTTATCCCCCCAAGCCGTACCCCAGGGTCCCTTTTTTTTATTCCGAGGGTCCCCCCCCACAAAACCTCAGCCCAGGGAAAAGCCAAACCATCCCCCACTGAGCTAAAATCCCCTACAAACCTCAACCCGGTAACACCCGGGCCCTCCAACACTGGGCTAATTTCCCCTACACCTCAACCCAGGTTTAAAAACCCGCCCCCTCCACACTGACCCAATCCCCTACCCCCTACCCAGGTAACCCCCCAGCCCATCCCACTGATCTAGATCCCCTAAACCCACACCCCCCGGGAACACCCACCCATCCAACGACTAATCCCCTAAAAAACCTCAGCCCCGGGAACACCCCCCCCTCCACCTGGCTAGATCCCCCACCCCTCAACCCATTAAAACCCAGCCCATCCCCAACCCCCAGCAATCCCCTAAAAAAAAACCCTCGCCCCCTTTAAAAACCCAGCCCTCCACACTGACTGAAACCCCTAAACCCTTTATACCCCCGGTTTAAAACCCCGCCCCTCCACACTGAGCCTTTAACCCCCACAAACCCCAGACCCAGGGAAAACCCCCCGCCCCTCCACAAATGACTAATCCCCCCACACCCGACCCGGTAACACCCAGCCCCTCCAAAACCCCGAAACTAGATCCCCTAACCCCCTCAGACCCCCGGTAAACCCACCCCGCCACACCCGGGCTAGATCCCCCCACAAAATCAGGAAACCCGGTTTAAAAAACCCAGCCCATCCACAGGAAACTAAACCCCTAAACCCCCACCTCAACCCAGGTTTAACCCCCCGCCCCTCCACACTTATCTAGATCCCCCCCACCCCAACCCGGGAACACCCCGCCCCTTTCCCCCTAGCTAGATCCCCCCCCAAAAAAACCTCAGACCCCCCCCCCCGGTACCCCCCGCCCCTCCCACGTCTAGATTTCCCCCACAAAACCCCAACCCCCCGGTAACACCCAGCCCATCCACACTGAGCCCAAAATTTCCCCCACACCCCAACCCAGGTAACCCCCAGCCCATCCCACACTGACCCAGTCCCCCCTAAAAACCCAATTTTTATTCATCCTACCCCTTTTTCTACCCATCCCCAGCCCGTTTGGAAAAATTTTTTAAAATGCCCCTTTTCTTTTGGGAAAAGTTTTATTTCAATATAAATTCCCTTTTTTTTTTTTCTTGTCACCTGGTTTAAACATAAAAAAAAAATAAAATATAAAAATTCAAATTTGCTTTAGAGCCCAGCCTCTACCATATGGACCATTGATACTGGTTTATCCCCCTGGGGGCTAAAAAAATGGGAAAAAGGGAGGGAAGGGGAAAGAAGGGGAAGAGAGAGAAAAGGAAAAGAAGAGGAAGGATAAAAGAGGAAGGAAAGAAATTTGAACTCCAAAAAATTTTATTTAAACCCCAACACATTTGGACTATCAAATACCAAAATAAATCAGAGATACCCATAACCAAAAACGCATTTTGACTATAACTCCCATAGAAATCCGAGATATTTTATAACCCAAAACAGCAGTAGGAAATATAATAACCCCTAAACTCGAGAAAATTCATTAAACCCAAAACAGCCGTAGGAAAATTTAAATACCCATAGAACCAATTTAAAAAACAAATATAAACCCCCCGCAGTAGGGAAAAAAACTACCTTAGAACTCAGAGATAGTCTATAACCCCAAAACACAGTAACTATAAATACTATGAATCAGAGATAGTCATAGACCAACACAGCAGTAGGACTATAACAACCATAAACTAGGATAGTCCCCATAAACCCCCACGCGTAAGGACTAAAAACTACCCTGCAACCCAGAGAAAAGTCCCAAGACCAAAACAAACCGTAGGAAATAAACACCCTAAACTCCCGGAAAACTATAGACCAAAAACCCGCAGTAGGACTATAACTAACCAAGAAATCAAGAATTTTATAGGCCCAAAGCGCATTTGGCATAACTACCATAGAACCAGAGATGTCTATATCCCAACCCAGCTAGGACTATAACTCCATAAGAACTCAGAAAAGTCTATAGCCCAAAGCGCATAGGATATAAATACCAAGCCAAAGATATTCCCATAGAAAACCCCCAGCAGTGGACTTGAAATACCATAGGGAAATCAAAATGTTTTATAACCAATACCATTAGGGCTTAATAAAATACCCTAGAACTCGAGATATTTTATAGACCAACAAAGCGAGGACTATAACTAAACCCTAGAATTTAAAAGATAGTCTTAAAACCAAAAGGTAGGACTATAACCCAACCCCTAGAAATCAGGATAGTCTATAGCCCAAAAAAGCGTAGGAATAAAACTACCATAGAAAATCATAGTATCCTTGACCCTGCAGCCGTGGACTTTTAACTAAAACCCTAGAACTCGAGATTTGTCTATAACCAAAACCAGTAGGACTAAACTACCCCCTCCGAACCCAAATAGCTATAGCCCCAAAAAGCATTAGCCCATAACTAAACCCAAAAACTCAGAATAGGGCCCATGACCAAAACCAGCAGTAGGGCTAAACTACCATAGAAATCAGAGATAGTCCCATAGACCAACACAGCAGTAGGACTATAAATAAACCATAGAAACCCGAGATAGTCTATAGGAAAAATACCCGCCGTAGGACTATAACTACCTAGAACTCGAGAAGTCTATGGTCAACACCGCAGTAGGAAAATTTTAAATACCATAGGGAATCAGAGATAGTCTAAAAGACCAAAACCCCGCCGTAGGGCAAAAACTACCATAAACTCAGGGGTAGTCCCATAACCAACCAGCAGTAGACTATAAATACCAAAAGAATCAAATATTTTATAGACCAATACAGCAGTAGGAAATTAACTCCTAAACTCAAAATAGTCCCCATGGGCCCCCAGCAGTAGGAAATATAACTAAACCCCCGAACTCAGAGATAGGGCTAAAAGACCCCAAAACCCGGGAAATAGGGAAAATACTACCATAGAAATCCGAGAAATCCCAAAAAATAACCAAAACGCTTAAAAGGGCATAACTACCAAAAGAACCAAGGGGAAGTCTATAAAACCAATTTCAGCAGTAGGACTATCCCCCCATAAAACTCAGAGAATATTCTAATAGAAACCCAAACAAACCTAAAGGGCCCAAAAACACCATAAATCAGGATAGTCTATAACCAAAACAAAGCAGTAGACTATAACTACCAAAAGAACTCAAAAGATAGTCCTATAAAACCAACACAGCAATTGGACTATAACTACCCTAGAACTCAGGAAAAGCCCCATAGACCAAAAACAGCAATAGACTAAAAACTCCCCTAAAAACTCAGGAAGTCTATTTGACCAATCCCATTTGGACTTTAAATCCCCTATAAAATCAGAGTAGTCCCATGACCAAAGCAGCAGTAGGAAATATAACTACCATAAAAACTCAAAATGTCTATAGACCAAAACCAGTAGGCCCAAACTACCCTAAAAACTCAGAATGTCCTTTGAAACCCCTACCCAGGGAGCCTATAACTAAAAATAAATCCCCGAGATTTCTTAGACCCCAAAAACCCCCCAGTAGGACTAAAAAACTTTCCATAGAACTCAAGTAGTCCCATAACCAACCCCGCAGAACTATAAAAATTTCCAAAACTCAGAGTGTTTTATAACCAAAAACAGCAGTAGGGCTATAAATACCCTGAACTCAGAGATAGTCTATAGAAACCCAAAACAGCCGTAGACTAACTAAACCCTAAACCCCAAGTATCTATAACCAAAAACGCAGAGGCTATAACACCATAGAAATCAGAATAAATCCCCATAGGTCCAAAAGCAGTAGGACTATAAATAAACCCTGAACTCAGAGACAGGTTTTTAGGTCAAAACAGCATAGGACTTAACTACCATAGAACCAAGATTTTTCCCCATAACCAAAACCCCCCAAATAGGAATATAAATCATAGAAAACAGAGATAGTCTTGGTCCAAAACCCGCAGTAGGAAATATCTACCATAGAAATCCGAGATAGTCTAAAAGACCAATACAAACCGTAAACAAAATTAAATACCATAGAAACCCCCAAAAGTCTATAGACCCCCACCCAGTAGGACTATAACTACCATGAACCCCAGAGAAAATTCTATAAACCAAAAAGCAGTAGGCATAAAATAAAACCGTAGAAATCAAGATGGCCCATAGACCAAACGCAGTAGGGCCCATAAAACCCTAGAAATCAAGATAGTCTATAGACCAACACGCGTAGGCTATAAATACCATAGAACTCAGAGATGTCCCATAGCCAATAAAAAATAGGAATTTCCCACCATAAACCCGAGATAGTCCATAACCAACCAGCATAGGGTTAAATCCCATTTAAAATCAAGATAGTCTATAGACCCAAAACGCTTGGGCTAATAAATTTCCCTAAACTCAGAGATAGTCTTAAAAAACCCAAAAAGGCCCCCAACAGTAACTATAACTCCAAAAGAACTCGAGATATTTTATGACCAAAACCCCCTTTGGGCTAAACTAAACCCTAGAAATCAGAGAAAATCTATAGAACCCAAAAAACAGCAGTAGGAAAATAACTACCATAGGGAAAATCAGGATATCTATAGACCATAAAAGCGTAAAACTTAACTCCTAGAACCCAGAGATAGTCTTAACCAATCAGGGGTAGGACTATAACTACCATAGAATCAGAGAAAAGTCCCAAGACCAACACAGCAGTAACTAAAAACTCCCTAAACTCAAAATAGCCTATAGACCAATCTCAAGGCCCATAACTACCCAAAAACTCCAAAAGGGAAATTTTGGTCTATAAACCAATTTTTTTGGGGTAGGACTATAACTCTATAAAAACTCCGAATTTTTCTATATACCAAAACCGCAGTAAAGGGCTATAAAACCATAAACTCAGAGATTCCCCATAGCCCAAAACAGCATTAGGCTATAAATACCATAGAATCGAGATGTCTATAACCAACAAGCAGTGGGCTATAAAATACTAGAACTCAAAATAGTCAAGGTTTAACAAACGCAGTAGGACTATAACTACCCCTAGAAAACCCGAGTATTTATGACCAAAAACAAGGGAGTAGGACTATAAATACCATAAAAACTCAGAGTAGTTTTTTTAGCCAAAACCCCAGTTTGGCCCATACTCCCATAGAACTCAGAAAATAGTCTTAGACCAAAACAGGGATAGGACTAAAAACTACCATAGAAACAGAGATAGTTATAGACCCAAACACAGCAGTAGGACTTAACTAAACCCTAAAACTTTGAGATGGGCCCAACCAAAACACCTGGACTATAAAACTAAACCCTAGAACCCCAAGATATTTTATAGCCCAAGCAGGGAGTAGGACTTAAATACCCTAGAACTCGAGATAGCTATGACCACCCAAGCCCTAGGGGCTATAACTACCATAGAACTCAAAATTCTATAGACCAAAACCAAACAGTAACTAAAATACCCTAAAAACTTTAGAGATGTCTATAGACCAAAAAAGCAGTAAACTATAACTAACCCCTAGACCCCAGGTATCTTAGCCAATCAGCAGTAGCTTAACTCCCCTAGCTAGGATATTCCCAAAAAACCAAAACACATAGACTTTTTAAAAACCAAAAATCAGAGTAAATCTAAGACCAACACAGCAGTAGGCTTAAAAACTACCCTAAAACTTTTAAAATTCCCATAAACCAACCCAGTAACTATAACTACCTAAATAAATCGGGGATGTCATAGACCAATACAAACATAAGGCTATAAAATACCATGAACTCAGAGTGTCCCATAAAAAACCCCCCCATAGGACTTAAATACCATTTGAACTTTAAGATAGTCTATAAAGGGCAACACAGCGGGAAGGGACTATAAATAACCATAGAACCCCAGAGATATCTATAGACTCAAAGCAGGGATTAGGACTAAAAATACCCTAAACCCCGAAGATAGTCATGACCCCAAAAACAAAACGGAGGCCCATAAAATACCCTGAACTCGAGATATTTTATAGACCAATACCCTAGGACATAATACATAACTACCACAGATACATTTGGGGGGGGAAAATTTTTGTCACCCCAATTTTGGGGAGTTTTTCCCACTTAAAAATAAAGAGAAAGGGCCCGTAATTTTTTCATAGGGCCGGGCAACTTTTGACAGGGCCCAAATTTTAGGGAAAAAAACCAGAAAAAACCCCCATTTTGGATCTTTTAATTAATTTATTTTGCAAATTAAAGGTTTTAAAATAGTATTTTTCACCCCACAAAAAGCAAGATTTTTGGCTCTCAAGACCCTTTTAAATTCTTTTTAAGGGCCCTCTGTCCCTTTCCCCTCGTTTCCTGTATTAAAAGGCACCTGTTTGAACTTGTTTTTGTAAAAAAAACCTTTCCCCAAACCCCAAAAAGTCCCCACTCCCAAAATTCCCCCCTAGGCCAAAACCAAAAAACTGTCAAAGGAAAACCAGAAACAAAAAGGGAAAACCCCACCAGGGGGGAAAACTGAATAGGTTCCCCTAGTTTAAACAGCTTGGTTTGAGAAATCACTGTGGGAGCAATTTTAGGAAAAGGAAGACATACAAAAAACCCCTGATAATCTCCCTCGATCTGGGGCTCCCACGCAAGATCTCACCCCGTGGGGTCAAAATGATCACAAGAACGGTGAGCAAAAATCCCAGAACCACACGGGGGGACCTAGTGAATGACCTGCAGAGAGCTGGGACCAAAGTAACACAGCCTACCATCAGTAACACACTACGCCGCCAGGGACTCAAATCCTGCAGTGCAAGACGTGTCCCCCTGCTTAAGCCAGTTACATGTCCAGGCCCATCTGAAGTTTGCTAGAGTGCATTTGGATGATCCAGAAGAGGATTGGGAGAATGTCATATGGTCAGATGAAACCAAAATAGAAATGTTTGGTAAAAACTCAACTCGTCGTGTTTGGAGGACAAATAATGCTAAGTTGCATCCAAGAACACCATACCTACTGTGAAGCATGGGGGTGGAAAACATCACGCTTGGGGCTGTTTTTCTGCAAAGGGACCAGACGACTGATCCGTGTAAAGGAAAGAATGAATGGGGCCCATGTATCGTGAGATTTTGAGTGAAAACCTCCTTCCATCAGCAAGGGCATTGAAGATGAAACATGGCTGGGTCTTTCCAGCATGACAATGATCCCAAACACACCGCCCGGGCAAACGAAGGAGTGGCTTCGTAAGAATCATTTCAAGGTCCTGGAGTGGCTAGCCAGTCTCCAGATCTCAACCCCATAGAAAATCTTTGGAGGGAGTTGAAAGTCTGTTGCCCAGCGACAGCCCCAAAACATCACTGCTCTAGAGGAGATCTGCATGGAGGAATGGGCCAAAATACCAGCAAACAGGTGTGTGAAAACCTTGTGAAGACTTACAGAAAACGTTGACCTGTGTCATTGCCAACAAAGAGTATATAAAACAAGTATTGAAGACTTTGGTTTGACAAATCACTTTTTTCCGACAAATTGCAAATCAATCATTAAAAATCCACTGTGATTTTCGATGATTTGTAATCTTTCTCATTTGGTAACATGATTGGCTTCACAGCATATCCAACTTCTTAATGCCGGAGAATGCAACAATTGGTGGCTACTAGAATACTTTTTCCACGCTGGATTTAGCTTAACATAGATCCACATAGTAACTCTCTGGCTTCATGAACCAGGACATATCAACTCTCTGCTTCATGAACCGGATCATATACAACTCTGGCTTCATGAAACCTGGACATATCAACTCTCTGGCTTCATGAACCAGGAACATATCAAACTCTCTGCTTCATGAAACCGGACATATTCAATCTCTAGCTTCATGAACCGGACATATCAACTCTCTGGCTTCATGAACGGACATTATTCAACTCTCTGGCTTCATGAACCAGGACATATCAACTCTCTGGCTTCATGAACCGGACATACAACTCTCTGGCTTCTGAACCGACATATCAACTCTCTAGCTTCATGAACCGACATATCAACTCTCTGGCTTCATGAACCGGACATATCAACTCTCTGGCTTCATGAACCGGACATATCAACTCTCTGGCTTCATGAACCGGACATATCAACTCTCTGGCTTCATGAACCGGACATATCAACTCTCTGGCTTCATGAACCGGACATATCAACTCTCTGGCTTCATGGACCGGACATATCAACTCTCTGGCTTCATGGACCGGACATATCAACTCTCTGGCTTCATGGAACCGGACATATCAACTCTCTGGCTCATGAACGGACATATCAACTCTCTGGCTTCATGGACCGGACATATCAACTCTCTGGCTTCATGACCGGACATATCAACTCTCTGGCTTCATGAACCGGACATATCAACTATCTGGCTTCATGAACCGGACATATCAACTCTCTGGCTTCATGAACCGGACATATCAACTCTCTGGCCTCATGAACCGGACATATCAACTCTCTGGCCGCATGGACCGGACATATCAACTCTCTGGCCGCATGAACCGGACATATCAACTCTCTGGCCTCATGAACCGGACATATCAACTCTCTGGCCTCATGAACCGGGACATATCAACTCTCTGCTCATGGCGGACAATCAACTCTCTGGCTCATGAACCGGACATATCAACTCTCTGGCCTCATGAACCGGACATATCAACTCTCTGGCTTCATGAACCGGACATATCAACTCTCTGGCTTCATGAACCGGACATATCAACTCTCTGGCTTCATGAACCGGACATATCAACTCTCTGGCTTCATGAACCGGGCATATCAACTCTCTGGCTCAATGAACCGGACATATCAACAATCTGGCTTCATGAACCGGACATATCAACTCTCTGGCTTCATGAACCGGACATATCAACTCTCTGGCTTCATGAACCGGACATATCAACTCTCTGGCCTCATGAACCGGACATATCAACTCTCTGGCCGCATGAACCGGACATATCAACTTGCCTGGCTTCATGAACCGGACTATCAACTGCTTCTGGGCCTTGCATGTAGACCGGACTATAACTCCTCTGGCTCATGGACCGGACACTATCAACTCTCTGGCTTCATGACCGGACATTTAACTCCTGGCTTCATGAACCGGCACCTTTGGTTTGACACACTATCAACTTGGCTTCATGGACCGGACCTTTTGACCTTGGCTTCATGGACCGGACTTTTTGACCCTTGGCTTCATGGACCGGACCTTTTTGACCCCGTATGGACTTCATGGCTCTGGACCTTTTTGACCCCTATGGCTTCATGGGACCTTTTTGACCCCTCTGCTTCATGGACCGGACCTTTTTGACCCTATGGCTTCATGGACCGGACCTTTTTGACCCCTCTGGCTTCATGGACCTTTTTGACCCCTATGGCTTCATGGACGGGACCTTTTTGACCCCTATGGCTTCATGGACCGGACCTTTTTGACCCCTATGGCTTCATGGACCTTTTTGACCCCTATGGCTTCATGGACGGGACCTTTTTGACCCCTCTGGCTTCATGGACCGGACCTTTTTGACCCTATGGCTTCATGGACCGGACCTTTTTGACCCTATGGCTTCATGGACCGGACCTTTTTGACCCCTATGGCTTCATGGACCTTTTTGACCCCTATGGCTTCATGGACCGGACCTTTTTGACCCCTATGGCTTCATGGACGGGACCTTTTTGACCCCTCTGGCTTCATGGACCGGACCTTTTTGACCCCTCTGGCTTCATGGACCGGACCTTTTTGACCCTATGGCTTCATGGACCTGACCTTTTTGACCCCTCTGGCTTCATGGACCTTTTTGACCCCTATGGCTTCATGGACGGGACCTTTTTGACCCCTATGGCTCATGGACCGGACCTTTTTGACCCCCTCTGGCTTCATGGACCTTTTTGACCCCTATGGCTTCATGGACGGGACCTTTTTGACCTCTCTGGCTTCATGGACCGGACCTTTTTGACCCTATGGCTTCATGGACCGGACCTTTTTGACCCCTCTGGCTTCATGGACCTTTTTGACCCCTATGGCTTCATGGACCGGACCTTTTTGACCCCTCTGGCTTCATGGACCGGACCTTTTTGACCCCTATGGCTTCATGGACCGGACCTTTTTGACCCCTATGGCTTCATGGACCGGACCTTTTTGACCCCTATGGCTTCATGGACCGGACCTTTTTGACCCCTATGGCCTCATGGACCGGACCTTTTTGACCCCTATGGCCTCATGGACCGGACCTTTTTGACCCCTATGGCTGATCTTGACCACTCCTAGTTAGGGTTATTAAACCCTGGTTTGAGTGTTTGTGTGTCTCTCACCTGTCCGATGTGTCTGTGTGGCGGTGGGCGTGTCTGTTGGCCCCTTCGGTCCTGTGATTGGTTCATTAGAACGCCCCTGTCGTCTGATTGGCTGCGAGGCCGAAGGTCCAGCATGCTCTGGGAGAACCTCGCCATCACGTTGACCCTGTCTCCATGACGATGACCCTCGCCAACCCGGCCCAACCCTGCTGTTACCCCATTGGCCACCAGCGAGGGTTCTGTGGGGTCTGATTCATCGCACTCGTAGTAGGAGTCGTCAGACGACGCGTTGTCATTGGCTGTCTGGTCACATAGCGCCGTGGTGCTGTCTGCGTCATCATGACGACTGCTGCTACTGCTCCTCCTCCCCTCTAGCCCCTCCTCCTCCTCTAGCCCCTCCTCCTCCTCTTTCTCTTCTCTCTGTCCGGGGCGGGACTTGGTATCCATCAGTGTTTCTGATTGGCTGATAGAGGCAAGCGGTGTCCCTGATTGGCTGTCGGTCCTGGGGATCAGGCTGACCTGTGGTTGGCCAGACTGGTGAGAGTGGGCGGGGCTAAGGAGGAGCTGCAGGGTGCGAGGTTTAGGGATGGGAGGGGTGGAGGGGTATGTGTCAGGCCTGGGGGTGTGTTTATCAGGGCTGGGGGTGTCAGGGCTGGGGGGGTGTTTATCAGGGATGGGGGGGTGTGTATCAGGGCTGGGGGTGTGTTTATCAGGGATGGGGGGGGTGTGTATCAGGGCTGGGGGTGTTTTTATCAGGGATGGGGGGGGGTGTATCAGGGCTGGGGGTGTGTGTATCAGTGTGTGTCTCTGTAGGTGTGTGTATGACTGGATGTTGAGGTGGGGTATTGGAGAGGTCTTCCTCAGGGGAGTCTGGTTGGGTCTGCTTGGGGGGTTGTGTCTGCTTGGGGGGTTGTGTCTGCTTGGGGGGTTGGGTCTGCTTGGGGGGTTGTGTCTGCTTGGGGGGTTGTGTCTGCTTGGGGGGTTGTGTCTGCTTTGGGGGTTGTGTCTGCTTGGGGGGTTGTGTCTGCTTGGGGGGTTGTGTCTGCTTTGGGGGTTGTGTCTGCTTGGGGGGTTGTGTCTGTATGTCAGGTGTCTGTGTATCAGGTGTCTGTGTATCAGGTGTCTGTGTATCAGGTGTCTGTGTATCAGGTGTCTGTGTATCAGGTGTCTGTGTATCAGGTGTCTGTGTGTTCCGTAGTGTAGCAGTCTCAGGTAGGGGTTTATCAGGCAGACTGAAGGGAGAGCTGAACCTGATGGCCTGGCTGGTCTCAAACTGTTGACTTCTCTGGAGGTGGACCTGTTAGGGTCAGAGGTTAGGGGTTAGGGGTTTATCAGGCAGACTGAAGGGAGAGGTGGACCTGTTAGGGTCAGAGGTTAGGGGTTAGGGGTTTATCAGGCAGACTGAAGGGAGAGGTGGACCTGTTAGGGTCAGATACATTATCAGTCAGGTCCAACGCTAAGGTTAGGAGAAAGGGTTAAGGTTAGGAGAAAGGGTTAGGGTTAGGAGAAAGGGTTAAGGTTAGGAGAAAGGGTTAAGGTTAGGAGAAAGGGTTAAGGGTTAGGAGAAAGGGTTAGGGTTAGGAGAAAGGGTTAGGGTTAGGAGAAAGGGTTAGGTTAGGAGAAAGGGGTTTAGGTTAGGCGAAAGGTTAGGTTAGGAGAAAGGGTAAGGTTAGGAGAAAGGGTTTAGGTTAGGAGAAGGTTAAGGTTAAGGAGAAAGGTTAAGGTTTAGGAGGTAGAGGCAAGGGTTCAGGGTTAGGAGAAAGGGTCTAGGGTTAGGAGACAAGGTTAAGGTTCGGAGAAAGGGTTAGGTTAGGAGAAAGGCGTTAGGGTTAGGGGTTAGGGAGAAAGGGTTTTAAGGTTAGGAAGAACGGGTTAGGGTTAGGAGAAAGGGTTAAGGTTAGGAGAAAGGGTTAGGGTTAGGAGAAAGGGTTAGGGTTAGGAGAAAGGGTTAGGGTTAGGAGAAAGGGTTAGGGTTAGGAGAAAGGGTTAGGGTTAGGAGAAAGGGGAACAGTAGAGAGTAACATACCTGTTGGGGGCGGGACGCGTCTCTCACGTTGATGAAGCCAATCACGTCGCTGGGAGGGTCTGGCTCCGGCCAGGTGGGCAGGTACATGATCAAGTACGCCTTCTCCAGATTGGCTAGTCCTGGGTGGAGGGGCGGGGCCTCCACTGGCTCTCTGGCAGGCTTTAGAACCCGTCCCAGTGGATTCTGGGTAGTGGAGTTCTTGTTGCTAGAGTCGTTAGCGGAGCTGGCTGGGCTAGCATTGTTAGCTTTAGCCTGTGCCGTAACGAGGGCGTATTTAGGGTTGATGAGTTTCCTAGCAACGGCTGCGGAGACAGGGGCGGGGGCGGCGGTGGGGGTGAAGTCGGGGATAGGCTCCTCCTCCAGCGGAACCTTGGCGAGGGACACGCCCCTAGAGGTCATGTAGAGGTCACGGAACTGTTTGTCGAATGTCTCAACTGCCTGACCGCTCAAAACCGTGATCAGGTTCCGGTCCAGACGAGACGCCGACCACGTGAAGCTGAGGAGACAGAACATACAGGGTCAGGGGTCAGGGGTCAGGGTACCTGTATGATCCAGTCACAGCTCTGTCTCCGTCTATGAGCATGTATCTCTGACTGAGGGTCAGGGGTCAGGGTACCTGTATGATCCAGTCACAGCTCTGTCTCCGTCTATGAGCATGTATCTCTGACTGAGGGTCAGGGGTCAGGGTACCTGTATGATCCAGTCACAGCTCTGTCTCCGTCTATGAGCATGTATCTCTGACTGAGGTCAGGTCAGGGGTCAGGGTACCTGTATGATCCAGTCACACAGCTCTGTCTCCGTCTATGAGCATGTATCTCTGACTGAGGGTCAGGGGTCAGGGGTCAGTACCTGTATGATCCAGTCACAGCTCTGTCCTCCGTCTATGAGCATGTATCTCTGACTGAGGGTCAGGGGGCAGGGGTTCAGGGTACCTGTATGATCCAGTCACAGCTCTGTCTCCGTCTATGAGCATGTATCTCTGACTGAGGGTCAGGGGTCAGGGTACCTGTATGATCCAGTCACAGCTCTGTCTCCGTCTATGAGCATGTATCTCTGACTGAGGGTCAGGGGTCAGGGGTCAGGGTACCTGTATGATCCAGTCACAGCTCTGTCTCCGTCTATGAGCATGTATCTCTGACTGAGGGTCAGGGGTCAGGGGTCAGGGTACCTGTATGATCCAGTCACAGCTCTGTCTCCGTCTATGAGCATGTATCTCTGACTGAGGGTCAGGGGTCAGGGTACCTGTATGATCCAGTCACAGCTCTGTCTCCGTCTATGAGCATGTATCTCTGACTGAGGGTCAGGGGTCAGGGTACCTGTATGATCCAGTCACAGCTCTGTCTCCGTCTATGAGCATGTATCTCTGACTGAGGGTCAGGGGTCAGGGTACCTGTATGATCCATCACCAGCTCTGTCTCCGTCTATGATGCAATAATGTATCTCTGACTGAGGGTCAGGGGTCAGGGGTCAGGGTCCTGTATGATCCAGTCACAGCTCTGTCTCCGTCTATGAGCATGTATCTCTGACTGAGGGTCAGGGTCAGGGGTCAGGGTACTGTATGATCCAGTCACAGCTCTGTCTCCGTCTATGAGCATGTATCTCTGACTGAGGGTCAGGGGTCAGGGTACCTGTATGATCCAGTCACAGCTCTGTCTCCGTCTATGAGCATGTATCTCTGACTGAGGGTCAGGGGTCAGGGGTCAGGGTACCTGTATGAGCCAGTCACAGCTCTGTCTCCGTCTATGAGCATGTATCTCTGACTGAGGGTCAGGGGTCAGGGGTCAGGGTACCTGTATGATCCAGTCACAGCTCTGTCTCCGTCTATGAGCATGTATCTCTGATGAGGGTCAGGGGTCAGGGTCCTGTATGATCCAGTCACAGCTTGTCTCAGTCTATGAGCATGTATCTCTGATGAGGGTCGGTCAGGGTCAGGGTACCTGTATGATCCAGTCACAGCCCTGTCTCCGTCTATGGCATGTATCTCTGACTGAGGGTCAGGGGTCAGGGTCAGGGTCCTGTATGATCCAGTCCACAGCTCTGTCTCCGTCTATGAGCATGTATCTCTGACGGAGGGGTCAGGGGTCAGGGTACCTGTATGATCCAGTCACAGCTCTGTCTCCGTCTATGAGCAGTATCTCTGATGAGGGTCGGGGCGGTACTGTGTAGTCACGCTTTCTGCTAGCAGTTCCTGGAGGGTCAGTCGTCTCCTTATCCGTCATCAGCTCTCTCAGGTCTAGAGACAGTACTCCTGACTATCAGGGTCGGTCCTGTATTAGCCAGTCACAGCTCTGTCTCCGTCTATGAGCAGTATTCGACTGAGGGTTCAGGGGTCAGGGTCAGGGTACCTGTATGATTCCAGTCACAGCCTGTCTCCGTCTATACATGTATCTCTGATGAGGGTGGTCAGGGTCTACCTGTATGATCCAGTCACCAGTCTGTTCCCGTCTATGAGCATGTATCTATGACGAGGTCAGGGTCAGGTATCTGTATGATCCGTCACAAGCCTTTCGTCCGTCTATGAGATGTATCTCTGACTGAGGGTAGGGGTCAGGGTACCTTATGATCCAGTCACAGCTCTGTTCCGTCTATAGCATGTATCTCTGACAGAGGCAGGGTCAGGGTCAGTACCTGTATGACAGTCACAGCTCGTCTCACGTATAAAGAGCAGTATCTTGACTGAGGGTCAGGTCAGGGTTACCTGTATGACCATTTACAGCCTGTCTCCGTCATGACCATGTATTCACTGACAGGTTCAGGGTACGGGTACCTGTAGATCAGTCACAGCTCTGTCTCCTCTATGACAATGTATCTCTGACTGAGGGTCAGGGTCAGGGGTCAGGGTACCTGTATGAGCCAGTCACAGCTCTGTCTCCGTCTATGAGCATGTATCTCTGACTGAGGGTCAGGGGTCAGGGTAGGATACCTGATGAGATTCACAGCCTGTCTCCGTCTGATGAGCATGTATCTCTGACTGAGGAGGTCGGGGTCAGGGTACCTGTATGATCCAGTCACAGATCTGTCTCCGTCTATAGCATTACTCTACAGAGGGTCAGGGTAGGGGTTCACGTACCTGTATGATACAGTCACAGCTCTGTCACCGTCTATGAGATGTATCTCTGACTGAGGGTCAGGGTCAGGGTACCTGTAGATCAGTCACAGCTCTGTCTCCGTCTATGACATGTATATCTGACTGAGGGTCCCGGGTCGGGTAGGTACCTGTATGATCCAGTCACAGCTCTGTTCCGTCTATGACATGTATCTCTGACTGAGGGTCAGGGTCAGGGGTACATGTATGATCCAGTCCCAGCTTGTCTCCGTCATGACATGTATCTCTGACTGAGGGTTCAGGGGTCCCGGGTACCTGTATGATCCAGTCACAGCTCTGTCTCCGTCTATGGCATTATCTCTGACTGGGGTCAGGGTCAGGGTTCAGGACCTGTAGAGCCAGCACAGCTCTGTCCGTTATGAGCAGTATCCTGACTGAGGGTCAGGGTCAGGTACCTGTATGATCCAGTCCCCAAAGCTCTGTCTCCTCTATGGATGTATCTCTGACTGAGGGTCAGGGGTCAGGGTACCTGTATGATCCAGTTTACAGCTCTACTCCGTCTCATGACCAGTGTACTCTGACTGAGGTCAGGGTTAGGGGTCAGGGTACCTGTATAGCCAAGTCACAGACCGTCTCATGAGCATGTATCTCTGACTGAGGTCAGGGTAGGGTACCTGTATGAGCCAGTCACAGCTCTGTCTCCGTCTTTACATGTAATCCTGACTGAGGGCAGGGGGGTCAGGTACACTGTATGATCCAGTCACAGCTTGTCTCCGTTATGAGCATGCTACACTGAGGTCAGGGTCAGACCAGATTATGAGCACAGTCAACAGCTCGTCTCCGTCTATGACAGTACTCTGACATGAGGGTCAGGGGTCAGGGTACCCTGTATGACCAGTCACACTCTGTCTCCGTCTAGAGCATGTATCTCTGAGAGGGTCAGGGTCAGGGTACCTTATGACCATCACAGCTCTCCCGTCTATGAGCTGTATCTCAGATGAAATCAGGGGTCAGGGTACCTGTATGAGCCGTCACAGCGTCTAATGAGCAGTATCTTGACTGAGGGTCAGGCTCATCAGGGTACCCGAGAGCCAGTACAGTCTGTCTCCGCTTATGACATGTATCTCTGACATGAGGCAGGGGTCGGGGTACAGGTACTGATGATCCAGTCACAGCTCTGTGTATCTCATGAGCATGTATCTCTGACTGAGGGTCAGGGGTCAAGGTACCTGTAATCCAGTCAAGCTCTGTCCAGTCTTATGAGCATGATCTCTGACTGAGGGTAAGGGGTCAGGGGTCAGGGTACCTGTATATCACAGTCACAGCTCTGTCTCCGTCTATGAGCAGTATCTTGACGAGGGTCAGGCGGGTCAGGGACCTGTATGAGCCAGTCACAGTCTCCCTTATAGATTATTTCTCTGACTGAGGTCAGGGTCAGGGTCGGGCCTGTATGACTCCGTCACAGCTCTGTCTCCGTCTATGAGCTGTATCTCTGAATGAGGGTCAGGGTCAGGGGTCAGGTACTGTAAAGATCCAGTCACAGCTCTGTCTCCGCATGACATGTTATCTCGACTGAGGGTCAGGAGGTACAGGCCTTAGATTTCAGTCACACTACTGTCTCCGTCTATGAGCATATCTCTGATGAGGGTCAGGGAGTCAGGGTAACCTGTATGATCCAGTCCCAGTGTCTCCTCTATGAGCATGTATCTCTGACTGAGGTCAGGGTCAAGGGTCAGGGTACCTTAATATCCGACCAGCTCTGTCTCCGTCTATGAGCATGTATTCTGACTGAGGGTCAGGAGTCAAGGGTACCTGTATGATCCAGTCACAGCTCTGTCTCTGTCTTGAGCATGTTTCTCTGACTGAGGACAGGGTCGGGGTCAGGGTACCTGTGATCCAGTCACAGCTCTGTCTCCGTCTATGACATGATCTCTGACTGAGGGTCAGGGGTCAGGGTACTATATGATCCCAGTCAAAGCTCGTCTCCGTCTATGAGCAGTATCTCTGAACTGAGGCAGGGGTCAGGTACCTGTATGATCCAGTCACAGCTCTTCTCGTCTATGAGCATGTATCTGACTGAGGAGGGTCAAGGGTCAGGGTTACTGTATGATGAGTCCAGCTGCCGTCTAGGAGCATGATCAACTGACTGAGGGCGGGGTCAGGGGGTCAGGGAGTACCTGATGACCAGTCAAACCCCGCTCTGTCACGTCTATGAGCATGTATTTTCTGACTGAGGTCAGGGGCAGGGTACCTGTATGATCCAGTCAAGCCGTCTCTGCTATGAGCATGTATCCTGAATGAGGACAGGGAGGGGTGGGCCAGAAATCAACTCTGTCTCCTCTATGAGCATGTATCTCTGACTGAGGGTCAGGGCGCAGAGGGCCGGTACCTGAATGATCCTCACAGCTCTGTCTGTAGAGCAGACTCGCTGAGGATATCGGGCGGTGTGCACAGCTCCCTCCTACGC